GCATCAGCAAAGCCACAGCCTTTTGGTGCATTTAGATGAGAAGTCTTCTCCCGTCACCATTGCAGAAACTGAGACTTCCACGAGAAAGATAGAAAAGGAAGCAAAAGTGTCTTTTCTTGACATCTGGCGTGTCCCTTGGGGCAGTGGCAAGGTTGGAAACCTCCGTCCACGAGTATTTGATAGTGGTAGGTCCTTGGACAGAAGTCCTCATATATTACCATTGTGGCTTTCGTCTCTTTTTTTATTTATTTTTTTTCTATCTACATTTTCTTCCTGCTGCCAGGATCTAAGAAACGGCAGCTTTACAGTTCCTGACAAAACTTGTTGAAGTTTCTTATTAGTTATATTCTTAAGTTCTCTGGTTTCTGGCTGTGGATGTTCTTCCAGTGGCTGCCTCAGACATTTTCTGATGTTGCCCATCCGAAGCTATGGGAAGGAGAAGGATCAGCCCTCTGCTTCCTTGCCTTGCTATGCCATTGTTTTCTCTGGTTAATTTTTAACGAGGTTAAAAAGTGTATTAAGCACTCCCTGCAAGTAATTTGAGCGTCTACAGCGGAGTAACAGGATACAGGGCTGGAAAATAAACTAACCACTGAGCTCCTCTGGGGAATTACTCTACAGTCGCCTGTTACGAAGGATGTAAATCTTTGCACGTGCATATTAATACCAACCACTGACAGAGAAAAGCTTTCGATTTGCTCTAACCTGTCAGTTCTTCCGTCCCTGCCTATTTTTCATCAACTCATCAAAAGAAAATTGTAGTGTCCCTTTGGAAAGCTACCTGTTTACAGCTGCCTGCCCTAAGTCTTTGGGCTCACCTAACTGCAGACCTTTAAAGAAAGTGGATGAAGGAGCAGAGGTATGGGTGTTTGTTATAAAGACATCTTTTTATGGTCTGTCGTGTTTAAATAACTATATGGACAAGGAAATGTTGCTGCAGGCTGTGTGCTGCTTGGCTGCATCTGCGGGATTTTAACGGGAGCGCGAGTTTAACTGATGGGAAATGCTCTTCAGGAGGTAACTAAATAAAATTTAGCTGCTGACACATAAGAAGAGTGCAATAAATTATTTTTACAAATGGAAAGAGCAGCTCTCTTTTCTGAATATTTTTTTTTCCTGTGAGCCACAACCTGTCCGGTGCCTTCAATCCCGAAAGCCCTTTAAGAGAAAAACAAGAGTTGGCTGCAACTCTGGTAAACCTCTCAGTGTGTAAATCTGGCTCCACATCCTTCTGTTACTTCTCTTTTTTTACCTCGTTTCAGCCGAAATATAGACGAGCTTTTTCCTGGCTGGCAATTTGAAGAATTACTGTTTCTCCTGGAGCTGAGTTGGAGCATTTTTTTGGATGGAGATATGGAAACAGCTGTGTGCATTAAGATACTCTCTTTGCAGGATCTTTGTAGGAAGAGCTGCAGCAAGCCCACTTTCTTATCTCATGGGATCTATTATAAGCATATTTTTGAAAGCAAAGTCCCTCTCGGTACCCTTAAATACTGCAGCACTTCCCAGGCCAGGATTTTGGAAGCACGGCAGCAGAGCAGAGATGCATTAGGTGGGACAAATGACAAACCCAGTCTGTGCTGATGAATTAATCTTCGGACCTGGAGAGGTGCTGGAGAACAGACGGCAAAGCTCTCGGATGTAGAGGCCTCTGGGTTACTTTTTCAAACTTGGATTTGCCCTGAGGAAGGGCTTAAAAATACTCAGGGGACTTCGCAATGAGCTGTGGGAGGTCCCTGGTAAGGCTGAGTCAGAGGAAAATGAGGATATTTGTCATCATTTTTATTTTATTTTTTTTTAATTTAGGAAGGAGAAGTACATCCTGAGTACTCCCACGTGTCAGAAGTGTCATCCCAGGGTGAGATGCAGCCTAGCACCGCAGGGTTAGCCCAGAATCTGCGCTGTCTCCTGCGGGGGCTTTGCTTGGCCTGAAGCCTTGCAGGGGACACAGCTGAATCTCAGCAACGTGCCTCGGAGCTGCCGGCTGTGCTGAAGCCGTTGTTGCACGAAGAGCTGCGACCAGTGTTGAAGCAATGTAAGCAAGGGGGCAAATCACTGAAAAGTTGAAGAGAGGGAGAGAGAAGGTGTTCTTGCAGCTCAGTCGAGCGCTTGCAAAATGATGGTAGGAGGCTGCTAGGGCTCCTGACACCTTGTTTTCCTGCCTGTGTGATTGCTTATAAGCACGGCACAGAAATCTAGCGGTCGGTATCTCCAAAACAGGCGGTGGTGACTCATTTTAAAAAGGGAAATGCGTTCTGTGCAGTTATTGCAAACCCGGGCTGAATACAGATTCGTTTTTGGTAATCGTGGTTGTTCGAGATCTGCCAGCCCAGTGGACTGTGACAGCACCTGCTTTTTTCCTCCTTTCTCTTGGTTTTTAACCTTTCTGGAGATAGTTTGGTCTCAAATGGCAGGTTGCTACTCGGTGATGAATTAATTGCTCAGTTTGTTTCTATTACACTCAGGCTGGAGCAGAGACCATCCAATACGCAGAGAGAGACCTTCCGGGTGTCTTTATTAGAGATGAAGAAAAAAATACATACACAAGCCAACGCAGAAGATAAAAGCAGCTATCTGTAGTATGTCTCCCCACTGAACAGTGCCTAACGTGGCTTTTGTCCCCTCCTGGCTCAGACAAGGAGGCAGCATCTGGAGCGGTGCCTTCGCTGCGCTCCCCATCGAGTCCCACCTTGCCCCTTCTGAGCCCCAGGGCTCATCCTCAGGCATCGCAGCTGGTGATTTCCCCCAGGATTTTTCTCTCCCCTCCTGCCCAGGGTAAAACCGTAGCGCTAGGCTGCTGTTGGAAGCCTCGCTGCGAGAGAGGTTTTAATTCCTGTGCGTTTTAATGCAGCGTAATTAAAATAAAGGGCGGAAGGCTGACGCTTAGGGGAGCAGCGCGCCGTGTTAGTGTGCTTGTCTCTTTCTTATCATCGCCTTGGAGAGCAGGAAATGAGAATATGGGAGACCACAGCACTGATAATAGCAGGCTGTGGCAATAATTCTTTCCCTAAAGGCTGCCTTGAGGCATTGCTGACCCCACCTCGTGCTACAGGAGCAGGAATTGCCTGGCAGCAAGGAGCAGCTTTGGGCAGCTGAGTAGGGGACCTGAGCCCGGTGGCATTTTTCTTTTGTAGAATTCCTTTTGCAAGGTAACTTTTTCACGCGAAAAATGCTCTTTTTGTTCTTGCTTTCCCTACCTGTGTTGCAGTTTTATGCAGAAGTTATGGGTTGTGTCTGCATATGCAGTGCTGGGGGAGGTCGGAGGCTTTCCTGCTCCCTCCTGTAGTGGGGGTGACATTAGCTCCGTGCGTAAAACTGGTCACGCAGAAATTTGAGCTTGAGTTTGCAGCAGCAGCCACCCAGCCTTGTAAAAGGTTGCTCGCCGGATCGGCTCATTTCAGAAAATGGGATGTAGGTAGGTTGGGTGGTTTGCCACTCGAAAATAGTGGGTTTTCTTTGATATTTTTTGTTGTTGTTTGTTTCAAATCATGTGCTTGTTGGTTTGTTTTCGTAGCGTAAAGGTATTGCTGTCCTCGTCTCTCCCCCATCCTGTTTCTGGCTGCTTTCTTGGTGCTGCTGCTGCTGTGCCCAAAGCTGTGCTGTTAGCCCTGCAGCGAGCTCGGGGCACGGCTGTTCCCGCTGCCAGCAGTGCTGGTGCAGGCGGTGGTGCCGTGGCCCCGTAGCACGGAGCCTTCCTCCCTTCGGCTGCCGTGACAGCTGCATCGATGCCTTTCCAGTGGCACAGCAGCTGCTGTTCCGAGCAGCTTGACAAGGGCACGGCGATTTTGCTGTGGGGAACAGGCGCGGGATTTAATAACTCCGCTGAAACCAGAGACTTAAATCTGGAGGCCTAGGGAGAAGGTTAATTCAGCCCCTCGTGCTGCCCAGTTCATCTACCGAGTGCTTGCAGAGAGAGTTCGTTACCAGGAGCTCAGTTCAACGCCTTCTGCTCCGTGGCTTTTGCTTTTCTTCACAAATTCTGGTTTTACTGGGTAGCCTGCGTTAACAGACAGTTTAAAAAAAGAAGAAAAACTTCTGTATATAAAGATATATATATATATAAAAAGATGCTTTCAATGGATCATGAGTGGTAAATGTTAAAGTCTATGGAAGGAATAATAGGATTAAATACCTTAACAGATCTCATTTTGATAAACTGAATTGAACATATTAAATATTTGTAATTTAATACGTTTATATTAATAACAAAATATGTTAAAATACATATTCATTGTTGAATGCATTGTTTCCTCCATAAACGAAATAGATGCCCAAATGCAGAGCAAAATAAATGAACGAACCTTCGGATACAGACAGGGTGCAGGTCAGTGTCTGGGGAGGGCTGGGCAACAGGCATCTTGACTGTGATGGCAAAGTTGGATGTCAAGTGTCTGTGTCATAAAAACAAACCCAAACCTGTAAATATCCCCTATAAGAAACAAGTGACACCTTTACAGCTGGATGGGAGGCTGCTGAGTATCACCAGGGGCTGTTTTAACCTGCCTGCTTCAGGGTCTTCTGTGTAAAACAGATCAAATTCTGCATGGCTTCTCCTTGCTGGTAGGCTGCAGGTTTCTAAATTTGTGTGTTTGTGTAATTGCCTCCCCCAAATGGAGCCTGGTGGTAAGTATGTGTGTGCTCTGTTGCAGGGAAACTCTCCTACTTGGGTGAGGAAATGACCACATTACAGCGTGTGGTGGAGCTTTTTGGCTCTCTTGGGCTGCTAGCCCATGTGTGTGTTTAACAATACTCTTGTGTCTAAGGTATTTTGCTATTTCATCGAGGTTTCTGACTGCCTTTGTTGCCTGAAGGTTACATCACACAAATTTCTCAGTGTTGGACATCCCCGGAGTGGTTTAGCGTGGTTCAGTTTATTTATTCCTGAAAAGTGCTTCCCGGAGGAATGCCGGGTCCTGGTCATCTCCGGGCTGGGTGCTGCCTTTGCCCAGCCCCTCCTTGTACCCAAACCTTTCTGAAACGTGCTCCTTGTGTTTGTGCAGCAGGTGCAGCTCTGGAGGCAAACCAGGACCTGGGCGCGCCGGGAAGGAGCCCGCTACAGCACGCTGGTGCCATCTGATGGTAAGACTCCCTGCGGGGTCTTGGGCAGCTTCTCTGGGACAAGGGTGCATGTCTCCATCAGCTAAGGGAGAGAGAGAGATGCAAGCACGCATCTCAATGAGGCTCGATGGTGTGAGATGAGGTTAGGTGCTTGTCATACGTATGTTCCAGAGGACATCGTAATGCCGTGCATTAAGGAGATGCAGAACGTAATGCTTGGTTTTCTTTATTCATCCTGTACTTCAAAAACAACGTTTAACTTAAGCTGCAACTTACAATATGTTGTTTTTTTCTCACTCTGTTTGTTGTTCTTCTCCCAGAAGTGACTATTAATTACAGGCATGGTCTTCCCGTGATAACGCTGACGTTGCCCACCAGAAGGGAACGCTGCCAGTTCGCTGTGAAACCCATGGTAGCGACCGTGGGGGCATTCCTGAAAGACGTACAGAGAGAAGATAAAGGAATTGTGAAAGCAGAAGTCTTCACAACAGGTATCTTCCATTCCTGCCTGTCTTCAATTGATTTAAAAAGGAATTCATTCATTTTGTACTTCTCACTTGAAACGATTTCAGTCCTCCAGCAGGTTTAGCATCGTTGCTGCTGGGATGGTTCTTGAAAACTTCCAAGGTTTGCTGGTGTTTCAAATTCAGTATCAGAGTCTTTTTAGAAAGGCTGTTTTAAAATGCAGAATTGGACATATTATAACCTCCCCAGTAGTTTCCTAGTTTCCTCTATTATTATTTTTTTCTGGTAGCTTCTCTTTGTCCTGCTGTTTCTGAACAAATGAGTCTCTTCTGGTTTCCTTGGGATCTGTTTCTGTCCTTGTTCTCTGTGACTGTTCTGAGAGGCAACCAGTCTGGCTCCTAAGGACGATGTCTGCCCGTTGCTCCCTGTTCTCTGGAGCTGGAAGAATCTGTTTCCCCTAATGCAAATTTGAACTCATATGTAAAATGTATTAGGAGCTAAGCAACCAGATAATGTGTGCAGTGATAAAGGGCAGCTTTTTGAAACTCAGAGAGGTTTCATTAATCAGCTGGAGTACCAGAGTACCATATTTCAGGGCCCTTGGGCTGAAAGGAAAAGGCTATACTTACATGTTAGCATTGATGTGATTTTTCTGCTTGTAGCGTGTTATAATACCAGAAATAACCAGAAGTGGTTATTTCTGGGGAGGTTTGCAGCCCTTTAACTAAAAGCATCTGTTTCCTCACACCCAACTCCCCACCACCCCTTAAAAAAAGATGGCATATCCCTATTAAAAGATTTATTTTCCGTCAGGTAACACACAGAAGAAAGGATGGGGTCAGGGCAGGTTGTCCAAAGGTTCAGAACTGTGTGCACTCTTAACGTGCCCTTTCTTCCTGGCTGATAGTGCAGGGAGCTGCAGGGACTGAAAACAGACTGATGCTTCTAGATTAGGAAGCCGTGGATCTTGGAGAAGCTGTTGTGGTTGTGTTTGGAAGTTGACTTAGTAAAGCAGAACAATATCACACAGAACAACATATTTGCATTCTCTAGATCAGTAGAGGTGTGATCTGTGTGGATCCCAGTGTGCGTGAGCTTCATGTATGCCACAGCTTGTGCGTGGTTTTGATTTTATGTTCTATCTGCTGGACAGCAAAGGTAGAAAATTCTCTTTAAAAAGATAATTTTCTGAGGCTGTCCTGTATTTTCAGAAGGCACTGTGACAAATCATCACTGTCAGCAGCTGGCCTTCCCCTTAACGGGCAAGTTTTCACTGAAAATGATGCCTCAGGGGGTTGAGGCAGGGCTAACCAGGAACACGCTCCAGCAAACAGTTGCCTCTCAGTACTGCTGTCTCTGCAGCAGCATCCATGAAATAAATGTCTGTGATTCACTGATGAATCCCATCTTTCAGTGTTATGTCAGGAAAGCTCCACGTTAACTTCTTATTCTGCTTCAGTGCAGACTTCAGTCAGTTGTGAGGCACAATTTGGGCTGTTTTCACCCAGTGCCATCTGTTTAAACACCCAGCTTTGGAGTTAAAACCCCGTCTGCTTTGATTAAAGCTGTTTTTCAGAAAAAACTCTACTCTGTGTTTTCAAGTGAATTGTAAAGGAAGAGATCAGCTCAGATGTTTAATTCATTAGGAAACTGATACCGTAAAGAGAAACAGTTGGTCAAGTGTTCAGAGTTGAATTTAAACATTTATTACCAAAGAAAAATCATGAAGGTTTGATTTAAGGCAGACACTTTTCTGTGTCATTTAGCCATTAAATGAAGCCTGGCCTCAAACGAAAGCATTAGTGCTGTACTTGATGCCCCCTGTCATTGTCAGCAGATCTGCAAAATTTCTGCAGACAAAAAATATCCTTTTGTCCACATTTTTGAACACCTGTGCTAGGTGTAGGAATGCCCGTATGGAATTTTCTGAAATTACACAAGCCCTCCTCCCCAAACTTTCCTGCTTTTCAGCTAATGAAAGGTTGGCCAGGTTAATGAATGTGTGTTGTATCAGATCCAGCACAAAGAGCCTGTCTGGCATTTTTTTCCAAAGGATTTTTTTGCTTAAATGTCACTTTATAAATGTCACCTTAATTTACATGCAAATGAGGTTCCATGTTCTATTGCACCGTTTGAAAAGAAAGGGAGGGGGGCAGAATATGTGGCTGGGCACATTAACATTTCAGATTTTGGACTGAAAGCAAGAGCCTTCCAGGTTTGCTTTCTTACCCACGTCAGGTAGGTCGGGGAGCCAGACGGTGCAGCAGCTCGTGGAGCTCAGCAGCCTCCATCTCAGCAGCTGGGGCCAGGCTGCAGAGTTACAGTGAATAAATAATTGGAAAAACAAACAAACAAACACACAAAATACAGACAAAAACAGCCAACCATGACAAGTTTTTGCAGACAAAAACCTTCATCGTGTTTTGTAGCTTGATGATAATTCCTCTTCAGAACATAGCCCCTGCTTTCTGCTCCTGCGCGCCCCTCTGCAGGGGTAGGGGAAGATGCCACACATAGGCAGAGGTTTTAAATCCCCTCTGCCCTTTCTTGTTGAATGTCAGGTAGGAATGGATCCATCTCTCACGTGGATGCAACCTGTTGTTCAAGACACCACAAGTCTACCAGAGTGCGAATTTTGCTAGGTCGGCTGCGTGGGGAGTGCCAATATTAGTCAGAGCCATAACACAAGAGAACACAACATGCCTGCTCGTATTAGGGACGATATCACTACACTTCTATCCATTTTTATATTTTTTATATATTTACATTCAATGAGGCTTTTAAAAGTAAACCTTGAGCCTCCTTTTCTAAAGGCTTGCTCAGATATGCATTATGAAATATCTCATGAGAGACACTTTTTTCATTAATGACCACCATGTATGTTTTTATTATTATTTATTATTAGTATTTGTTGAGTGGGAGTTGCTTGGGGAATTAACTTTTTTTTCTTTTTTTTTTTTCCAAAATTTCCTGCATGCTTCAGGTCCTTGGCTGTGTGCGTGTTTGTGTTTTGAAGGTCTGCAGCCAGATGCTGTCTCCTTTATCCAAGCAGTGCAAATAGAGATGCTGATATTGCAGAGCATGGTGAAATTAAATGTGAGAAATGTGTGTAACACAGAGGGACAGTCGCACTGGGGTAAAGCACTGAAGACCACCTAGTGAAATAGTAGGAAAAGTAGCAGTAAAACCTAGTGACACCGAGAGAACTGCAAAGTCCAAATGCTACCTGTAGAGAAGGCATTAGGCACACACTCGGTATTAATGTTTTCCTCCTTACTGTTTAGTATCAGTTACTGGGTAAGAATGGCAATCATTAGTAAAAATCAGCTAAGGTTTAAGATTATTTTCAGTGGGAATGCTTTATGGTGTTACTCTTTCATCCGCAGATGGTAGCAAGGTTTCTGATGCAACCTTGATGGAGGTCTTACTGAGGAATGACTTTAAGCTTCTTATCAACGGCACAGCGTACAGCGTGTCACCTCCTGTAAAAGGTAAGAGACGTGCTTAATGACTCTGATTATCTCACTTCATCTAGTGAGAGTCGTGGGAAATCTCAGACAAGTGGAAACTCTAGGAGAAAACAGTTTCTCTGTGGTTTTGTACCATTGGATGGTCCTGCTTTGGGGGTTGAGGTGGGGGGAGAGAACAGAGAGGGGCAGATTCCTGAAATGTTTCATATGACAAACACTTTCCCTTCAGATAAGCTGAGTAGTGAGCATGCTACTGAAATGGAAGATGTCAAATCCTTGATTCACAGACTGTTCGTGGCTCTGCATTTAGAAGATCACCAGATCAGGAAGGAGAGAGAATTGCTGCAGAAACTGGACCATCTGAAGGAACAGCTGATGCCTCTTGAACAGGTTGGAAGAAGAGGGTGGGGGGTTGTTTCTTTATTTTTTTTTAATACAAAAGCATTTCCTCTTATCAAGAGTAAGTCCTGTGATAGAAGAAGATCGGCATGAAAGGCTGGGGTGTGTCTGCTGTGTTTGTCATGCAAACAAAGTCAATTCAAATTCAATTCAAATAATTTTCAGTTCAGTTCTCTTTCCCTCCTGCTTTGTTTGTATTCTCTGGGTAGAAACCACAACAGCTGGACACATAGCTAGCATTGGGATTGAGCATCCACTTTGCTGGCTGAGTTCTGAGCTCATTACAGAAAAAACAGTAGTGAGGTAAAAATGATCTGTGGCTTAGGATAGGGTTTTCTGTGTCATCAAGGCATCAAGGCAGATTGTGTGGACTAATGGTTGCTGTAATCCAAGAGGAGAAAGTATAAATGTTGATCTGAGGCAGGTTATGGTAACCAAACTTGAGCTGAGGAAGCCAGAAAGAGCCTGACAGGATGGGCAGAAACTTTTCCTGGGCTTCAGACCTGCTGTGTGAGGACCAGCCTCAGCATCAACCAGAGCTGCCTTGAATGATAAATGGAAAACCAGCAGATGTGAATCTCTAGTAGTGGGGAGGGGAGATTTAACAGCAGCATCTGTTGGTGCACAGCAGCCAGGAGGTCTGGTTGCCCTTGGATTTCAGTCCTTGTCTTACTTGGCAGGTTAAGTTAGTAAAAGGAGAGTACTGAAAAGGGATCCAGCCCAGCAGGAGTAAATACAGTGCAACTGGCGAGCAGCTCCTCAACTACTGTTTGTTTGAACAGGGTCCTGTATTTCTTCTCCCTAGATGAAAGCCAAAATCATGGACAGTGCAGACGCAAAGACCTCCAGGCTTCTGTGGGTTGGCTTAGCTCTGATGTCAACACAAGGCGGAGCGCTGGCATGGCTCACGTGGTGGGTCTACTCCTGGGACATCATGGAGCCAGTCACGTACTTCATCACTTACGGGAGTGCCATGGCTTTCTATGCCTACTTTGTTCTTACTAAACAGGTGAGTCCTCCTCCTGGAAGTGTCTGGAGTATTGTGAAGAAGAACTGATTCTGAAAATCATCATGTTTTGGGCTCTGATGAAAACAATTTGGTACAAAGCCTTGCCATCAGATGAGGGCTTGTTTGGTTTCTGATGGGATCTGAAGTCAAGCCAGGTGCTGTTACACGTGCACTGCAGAGCAGCTGTTGAGCAGAACTACTAGAGCAGAACTAGAACCTAGAACAGAACTACTAGAACAGAACTAGAACCTAGAACAGAACTACTAGAGCCTGTAGGACTTCATAACCTGGGGAATGAGAAGGGATGAATGAAATTTACCTTTTATTTTAGATCTTGGTAGACCGTTTTCACCTAGTAAAGTGGCACCTGGCTCGTAGCTGTAAAGGGAGAGCAGCTAGTAGTGCTGTGCCAGCTCGTGAACACTGCCTTGCAGCTGGCCAGGAAGCAAGGCACTGAACAGTAGCAACAAAAAATACAAAACACAACAGTTGTTAACTGAGCTGCAAAATACAGGCAAGTCCTGAAATCCTGTAAGACTTGGTTTCTTTTTCCTGTTGTAGCTCTGTACGTTACTCCCAAAGTAGACATCTGGATACTGCTTCCTTCCACAATACCAGGGGATCCATATAGACCTCATGAGATGTCAGTTTCTTTTAGTGAAAAGGGAAGATGTGTCAATTCTTATGACCAGCTATCTCTGAATTTTACTCCTCACTGATTTTTAAAAAGGGCTGAGGTATTCCTACTTCATGTATGTAGATATACATAAATCTCTAAATACAGAGATTGCCACTTGGCTTTTCAGAACAGCTGTTGGCACCTTTTCTTGAGATAGAAAGTCTTGGAGAAATAACTGTTCAACTTTCTCTGCCTCCTTGGAAAGCCGTGTCCATTCACTCCGGTGGCTTCAGTCATGAAGATCAAGCTGTGTTGTTATTATGATTGAGAATTCCTCTAGACGTGATAAAAATGATTTCTACCACGTGTCTTAAAAAGGCTGCTAGGGGCACGCCTCTACACGTAGCCTCTTAACAGTACACGTATTGTGTGTGTATCTGTGCACACACCTGTTGAACTGGACAAACCTTCCTGAAACAGGCTGAATTTTTCTGACCTCTACTTGTTTCTCTTGCTAACCTCCTACCTGTGCCCCTCTTTCTTCACCAGGACTACCTTTACCCTGATGTTAAGGACAGGCAGTTCCTCCACTACTTCTACCGGAAATCTAAAGCCAAGCGTTTCAATGTCGAACAGTACAACAAACTAAAAGAAGACGTAGCAGAGGTATTTAAACGCAGTCCTTAGTAGCCTCTGGGTTAAGACTTTTTCAGTAAACTCTCAGCTAACAGAAATTGACCTCAAGGTTTGTTGCATTCATTGCTTATCAACCAGTCTGAGCTGTTTAACCATCCAGCGCTTGCCACTGACATGTAGGCTGCTTCAGTGCGTCATCAGAAAGGGAGACTGCATGAGTGAAAGTTCAGACAAGTTGGTTTCTGAGCCCTGCACACCTGCTCTTTCCATACTTGACTACGTTGCATTCCCAGCAGTTCTAATAGGATATTAGAATTCTAATAGAGTTCAGCATTTGACAGCTTAATCCTACTCCTTAGGTAAAAGATTTCCATCCGGTCTCCTGTATTGTAGAAAAGGTGGTGGGTGTGCCTTGGGAGAAACAATGTGGTCTTCATGGAAAAAAAATAAAAAATAATAAAAAATAGCATGATCCTACTCCTCAATTCTTATTTTCCCATCCCATCTCTGACCCAGTGTTCAGTGTGTCATTAAAGAAAATTGAAACTACCCCTAATTTTAGTTCAAGACCTGTGGTTAATGGTATTGTTTCATGAGTCAATGTTGGCAGAAGGCTAGGTAGTCCAATACTTTTTCAACAGACTGCAAGTATGAGTTTTGTAATTGTAATTTCAGGAAAATAATCCTTTGGGGAGGGATGGGAGGAAGGTGGTGTAACAGGGCATACCCATGCTCTCTGGAGACGGGCTGAGTGACCTGAGTGTCTGTAAATGTTCAGCGTCCTCCATTTGATTCGTCTGGTTTCTTGCACAAGACCAATGCCTTCTTTCTCGTGCTGCAGGCAGAAGAATCCCTGAGGCGTCTACGCCAACCTCTGCACCTGAGACTTCCAATCCAGGAGATTACTAACAAGGACTGACGTTGTTTTGGTATACGTTAGAATTGTCCTTTCAAACCTGATGTGAACGTTTAGTTACTGTATAGAAACTGGATATTTTTGACCACTATAGTTTTGAAAATTACAATAAATATCTATAAAAATGATTTGGTCAGTTGGTGGCTTTGTTTTGTTTTCCTTTGTTCTTATTTGCTCTGTGTTTTCAGTCCCTTAAGGAAGTTGCTGAGGCAAAGTTCTTCAGATATTTGTCAAATCCCTTCAGTAAAATGGAGGTATTCTGCTTCCTGGTAAAAATGACAGGGATGTTTTTTAGAATGAGGGCTGTCTTTTTAGGACCATGACTGTAGCACAGCACTAGCTTAGTAAATAAGTAACTCTTGTATTAAGTATTACTGATTTGCTTTCTCTTTCCTTTTCACTAGCTCTGTTCTCTGATTGTGTTTGTATAACATCACTGGTGGGGGTTAGACTTGCACCCAAAGTAAGCTGTTTGTTTTAGTCAGTGTTGCTGGAAAAGTGACATAAATCAAACTCATTTACTGTAAAATTATTTGTTTTATTGTTGTTTTTTATTGACAGGACTTATCAAAACATTCACACATACATGATTTATACAAAGCTTCAAAATAGCCCTATTAAGCCTACATATCCGTGACTCAGAACACAGTATGCAGAAGGACTTAAGTAAAGCAGAGCAAGTAAGTCAATTATTTTATACCCAGGAAAGTGGATTAGGCCACTTTGCTCAGCTTGAGCTCTCCATCATGCCCCCGAGTTGAGCACGTGTACCAATAATGTAAAAACTAATTAAAAAAAAATAAATGATAATTTGCTTCCATTATGTATGGAAGTACTTGGTTATGCACAGAATTGAAATCACTGATGCTGCAGTTGCAGCAACCTGAAACATCTCATGGTGACAAACGTGCTGTCGGTTCTGTATGCAAAGGGACAGTTACAGCCGAGCTCTGGAGCTGAGGGGAGGCAGAGGCTGATCCAACACCACGGCCTGAAGTATACAGGTGCGTACATGTTGTAATTTACAGAGCTGCTAAAGATATCCAGCAGAGTTGTAAGCGACCCTGGACCCTATAAATGATTTGCTTTGAGATCTATACGAGATGAGCTTTCACCACCATGGAGTGTATTTGTACCCAAAGTTGTGGTCTCACCTCACTACTGCTCGCTTTACTCCTTGCAAAGCACCAGCAAGCTTTAATTTTAGCACAAATGTAAGTGATGTGCAAGCAAAAGAAGCACTTTATTTGCATTAATAACGAGTTGCACTCAAGGAATTAAGTTCCTTTTTAGCGTTGAGAGAAAAGTGAATCCAAAAAAAGTCTTAAAAAATCATCCTCGATAAATCACTAAAAACTGTAAGGCGGGTACAACCGCACACAGATTTAAAAAAGATGTCTTACAAATATATTCCCTGTAAACAGTGCTCTTTGAGCAAGAAAAGTTAACCTAACGCAGTATTTAAAAAGGTTTGGAAATAGTAAAAAATGTGCCATAATAGTAAAAATGTGCCATAATTAGAAAGCAAGCAAGCAAAAATCTTACTTTTTTCTTTAAAAGTTATCTACAGTACCAATTCCATGAATGAAATCTGAGCACCTTTTACTAGTCGTGCACCAGTCGACTTTTCCCATTTTCCCTGAGAGGCACAGAGCTGTAATACTATCTTTAAAATCACTTTAAGAATTTAGAAACCTATTGCATATACCAACTATAAGGTTTGATCTCAGTGTTTTTGCAAATAATTGTATAGAATATTTGTCTCCTGATCTAAGGTAGTGTTTTTCTCACTCCTACAGCCAGTATTAAAGACTGGCATTGTTAATTAGCAACCTACTTAGATTTTGGATGAAAATACAATTTTTTAGTTAACATTGAGGCAAAACAAGGAATCTGTTTTTTTCCTATAGCATTTATGTCCTTGCACACATCCACTTTGCGATGCGATACTTTCCTGTTAACCACAGTAAGAAGCTCTGTGAACTCCAAGGAAGAGCCGTGCTTCCTCAGCGCCTCACACAAATCCTGAATGTACCAGGAGCCATTTATGGTTTCACGGTGAGAAAAGTAACCTGTTGTAGAACATAAAATGATATTCAGTTTTAAGTGGGTTAAGTTAAACATTAACCCAATAAACATTAACAAGTTACTCCTTGCTATCCCATTAAGTGTAATCGTTGAGATTAATAAGGGGTGTAAATCGTATCATGTCAATTATGCAATTTTTCTAGAAACTGTAGACAGGAAATGTCCTTGAGATCACTTAAGTGCTTAGCCAAGCGGAGTGTGGTTCAGGAATGGGTAGCTCATTGACCACAGAACTGTTATCTGCAAGTTGCAAGAGAGCAGATGGGACCGAGGACAAAGATCTGTGGTGGACAGGGGAAGACAGTCATACTACAGGGAAACTAAAAAGCCACCAGCATACCACAGTCTTAGAGAAAAGGGAAATGCTTGCTGTCAGCAGACAGCTCAGCAACAAGACTACGATGAGAATGCCTCTGCTTGGCAAATTAACAGCAATTTTGATGGTTTGTTTTTACTTTTTCCTTAACATATGGGGCTCCTTCTCAGACAGACGTCACTTAGCAGATATGCAAAACAGATGACCTGGAACTGTACTCGTTTTGGCTGCAGAATGAGGAAGTGTTGAAGCTTGTTATTGAAGTACCAGACGCACCCATGTAAAATACTAGAACTTTACCTTGTGCCACAGAATAGCACATGAGAAAGTCTGCACCAGCAGGCAGGGTGTAGACACCAGCTGCATCCACTTCAGTCTCATTAACAATGGCTTCTTCTCTGCCGTCTACTGTATCCTGAACAATAACTGGATCGTCGTGTTTATCACCTCGACATGCCTGTTGGAGAGAGAAGGGTCATTCTGCTTTCACCTCCGTGAAGCTCACCTTTGTTACTACGATGCTTTTAAGCAGAGGGGACTCCTATTCAGTATGTTCCAAGTTAACCGTGACTGTGGATCCATAAAGACCCATTTCGATCTCTAGCAATTAAAATCTCGGTGATGAAGCCCACTAAAAGCTCTGAGATGATCACGGAATCATTGAGATTGGATGGGGGACCTCTTGAGATCATCTCACCCAAGCCTCTTAGCTCAAGCAGGATCAGCTAAAGCAAGTTGTCCAGGACAGGACTATACCCAGCTGGCTTCTGAGCATCTCCAAGGATGGAAGGAAGCTCTACAACCTCTCTGGGTGACATCTGCTGTTTGACCACCCCACATATTTTTATTTATTTTATTTTTAAACTAAAATTTCTGCGTTGAGATGGGGTTCCATGCATTTTTTGTGCCCACTGCCTTGTTTTGTCACTGTGCACTGCTGAAAAGAGTCTGGCTTCCTTTTCTTCCTTCCCTCCCATCAGGTATTTATACACACTGATAAGATCCCCCCGAACCTTCTCTTCTTTAGGCTGAACGATCTCAGCCTCTCCTCGTATAAGAGAGACCCTCCAGCTCCCAAACCATCCTCACAGCCCTGCACTAGACTTGCTCATCTAGAGAATGGATCACCTCACCTAACCTTTTGCCTGCACAAGCATTGAATAAATGCTCTGAAGCACAGCCATCATCGTACACTGTCTAGCTGTTAGTTGCAGGATTATTTTTTTTGGTGAGAAGTCAGTAAATTAACCCGGTATTATCAGTGTTGCAGAAAAAGCTATACAGGAAGAATAAGAAGGTAAGAACACACTTAAAAGGTACAAAGCAGGTAACAGGCATTAGTTAAGAGATATCACGTAAGAGGAACGTGAAAATTTTCTTTCCTTTACAGTGCTGAAGTTCTGTCCTTGCTGTTTTCTCTGTGATTTCCGAAGGTAAATGTTACACTGATTGTTCTTTTTGCTGAAAAAAGAACTCAGTTTATGAACTGAACTAAGTTGATTTGCTTTTCGATTAGTATATTTTATAAATGTTTCCAAGTACTACTTGTAATATGAAATATGCATATAGTTTCCATCTTTGGCATCAGATTTAAGAAAAAAAAAAGCTAAATGAGTCCTAATGAAAAAATTATTATCGATATAGTGATTTTTGTAGCAGCCTTGTGCTTACGTCAGCTTTCATTTGAAAAAAAGGTAATTCTTAAAATTACTCTATGAACAACTAAAGTACAGTCTGGTTCTCATTTGAGTTTGCTAGTTGTAACCTGGATAAGGACAGGCTGAAGCCCCAAGTAACTTGGTTTGACCCCATAGCTGGCTGCTGCAGACAGGAAGCTGGACCACAGGCCTCCTGAGATCCCTTCCAACTTGCCCTATCCCTTGAATGAAGAAGTGAAACAGGAGATTACGAATGGGTTTTATCTGACTGCTTAACACAAGCAGTATTTCTGAGCCAATAAAGCCTTAAATTGATTCTTTAAATTCAAATTAAATTCAAATTCAATTTAAAAGAGACGCTGAGTATTGATCGTGGAACGAAAAAAAAAAATAAAAAGGAAACTCTCTCTTACGTAAAGACTATTTCAGGAAAAAATGATTTGTCTATTACAAGAAGATGACACGGGTCAGTGTCAATTCCATTGAATTCAGAAACCTTACCTGAATGATAAAGATCTTCGGCTTTCCTACCAGACTCGGGCACTTGTCTCCCCTGAACATGTTTGTGATTGTCTCAATTTTGATTTGGCGATCGTATGCATAAACGTGATCATTCTCACCGTGACTCAAGTATACGCAAACAAAGCAGTCAGCATCGCTGTGGTCATCCTGAGAGGCTGAAATATCAAGCAGTGTTTAGAGGACTAGAAAGTAATCTTCAGGTGTAAAAAACTTGGCACATTTGTATCCTATGATTTAATCTCAGATCAATCGTTTTTCAAACGAACCCTACTTTCAGATAGTGCAATACTGCAGAGATGTGAAGGTAAGATAATTACACATGGCTGAAGAGTAAGGCCACTAAAAGTAAAAAGAATATTAATAACTTCTAGCTGCAAGTTAACTTCTTTCAGCTCTTAGCAACTTTGTTGGTTCTGCCAAAGATCACTTACATTGCAATAAAAGTGTCTTCAGTCTAACACTTTATGTCCCTTTACTGTTAAGCAATTCCACTTGTGCACAAAAAGTATTTTAAGCTAGATGAACATAATGAATGGAAGAAAAA